GCAGGATTTCTTCCGCAGTAAAGGTTCACGGAATTACTGTTGAGCTTACGATGAAACAGCCTCAACATCATTAAAATATTGAAGGATTTTTACAAGGTTCGATTTATATATAAGATGACTCTACTAGGCGAGCGTGTGAGTGTTTCTACAAATGTGTGGATCTTTTAGCCACAGAAAAATTCATTGAATATTAAAGTGGCGATGCTTCACAATTGATTCTACCTCTGCTTTACAACATATTATGAAAAAACGAACTCAACAGAATCCGCGAGTAGCTGAATCTCAGGACGGCAGCGAGAAGACGAACCTATCATATATTGAGATTGCAGAGCTTTAAGCGGCTTACATAAGTTTTTGGTACATTTTCTCAACGATGTTGGCTAATGAGTTTATTCTGACACATGAAGTCCCAGCTCCAAGTCAATATCTTGAAACAAATCCTGAAATTTAAAACTACCAGAGTTGAAAAAAAGGTCAGCAGCTTTATTCTCATCTTTAGCAGCTCGAGAGAGAACTGTTATGTATAGGTACTTATACAACCTGAGTTTGAGCGAGAACACACAGACTAAGCGTGTAACCTTTCTTTAACAGGCAGAAAGAGCTCCCAACAAGCTTGGTATTATTGCCGTGAGCTTACCGGTGTTTGAATAAACTATTAGGCATTTTATTGGCTTCGAAATTGATAGGTCTTTCAGGAAATCCGCTAAAACTCAGCAATAAATACAATAATATATCATTTTCGAATTTAAACCCTGATCCAATACTATAACAAACCTCTTTTCTATAAATAAAAACAATTCATAAAACCATCCAACAAAACTGGTAGTTTCGACAGCATCAGCAATAAATTTTAAATTGCGTTGGCAGCGCTGACTTTTGATCTTTTTCTACACAGCTTAGCTGATCGTGCAATTTCTGTGACCTGATAGCCGCACTTAAACCAAACCGGCAGGTGGCTTAGTTGGCTAAATGTAGCCGGAAAGGCAATTACAATGTCTAAGCAACAATAACCATTATGTTACAACAACCACATTTGTGCTACAAAAACAGCAAACAGTAACGGCTGCAAATACAAAAGGCAGCTGACTGCCAAAAGAGAGCGGGAGAGTTAGTAGAGCCAGGTAGAGATTAAGTTGAGCAGTGAGGGTAAAGAACAGGAGCGGTATAATAAAGAGGCCATTGGCATTCGGATTGAATAATAGGCAATACATTAATTAAAAGGATGTTTAAATCATAAATATCTGCTACTATGGTATGTATGTATATATTATATGTATGTATATACATATGTAGGTATGTCTGTCTGTCATGTGCAAGAAAATAATTACAAATGCTGCGAATTGCTTTAGTGAAATGCCAGTTTATGAAAAATCATTGCGGTCATTGCTGCGCAGTCGTGCAACACCGTTAAATATCAGTTAAAGCAAATTGATTGAATCTTTCATATATACGTCATTATATAAATGCATACATATACTAATATATATAGATATACAATTCCTTAGCAACATTGTATGCGCTTTCAACAAAACATTCCAGCTATTATTTATAGTTATAAAATTATTTGATAATTATTGTGATTGTTACTTTTTATGCAGTTGTTGTTGCAATACCAGGCAAATTTTTTGTTGTATATTGGTTTACCGTTATTTTCTCTTAATTACATCACTAATAATTTTACGCACTCCTCAGCGCTAATATTTTTATCACACCACGCTAATACGCGTTTTACAACTGCTTACAAAGTGGTCTGCACACTTCTAGTCTCAATAAGTAGTACTTTGCAACTAGTCGCTTATTTATTACTTTATATTATCATTACTTTATCTCAAAAATATATCGTGAGTTTTTACAACTAGCTACAAACTAGTCTTTAAATAACTAGTTAGTATTTCAATCATATTATACCTAGTTAGAAAGTAGTTGCGGTTACTTACGAAAATATATCTTGAGAAAACATATCTTCGACTTTTACATATACTTTGAAACTAGGCTTAAAACACTAGTTAAATTTTCAGTCATGCAAACACTAGTTAGGCAGTAGTCGCTAATAACTAGTTAAGCACATTTTTGCAATTAAAATGTATGCACGAATTTACATTTTAATTGCAAAAATTGGTTTAAAAGCAACTACTATGCAATAGTAGCACAGAAAGATTAATTTGCAAAAGCAAATCGTCACTGTAATATATTTTATTACAGATTTGTGAAGTTTGTAATTTTTTTAACCTAAGTCCATAATTTTAATATTATGCAACTGGTGACAAACCGGTCTCAATATAACTAGGTAATTCTAGAATACAACGGTACTAGCCAAGAACTAGTTATCAAAAATTTGCTGTTATTAAAAAAAAAAAACTTTTTTAATAAAAAGACTTGACTGACAAATAATAGCAGCAGTTGCAGTTGACTACAACAACAAACAGTTACTTTCAAGTGCCACAACTGCCGCAACTACCTTAGTTGCATCTAATTGCTTTTATTTTGACGCATTGCATTCAACGACGCTCACAAGTGCTCACATCTGCCGCAGTAGCAGCCAAACAGTCACTAAAACCAACTCAAACAGGCATTCAACATATCAAATCCGCTAATTGTGCCGAGTTGTTCAATGAAACCGGCTTGCTGCATGTGCAATAATTTACTCTTTTTTTATTGTTGTAATACCATACACTGGTTGTTGCTATTGTTCGTGTCGACGATTTTTCAATAGTTTGTGAAAATGGCAATTAAGTAAGTGCACAAATTTTTAACTGTCAGGTGCTTGTCGACTATTTTTTAGTCACCGCGGTGGCTGCCGCCGCTCTCGAAATTGATATTGCAGCTCGCTTTTAACGTTCGCATGAATATGCGCACAAAACGTTGTCTTTGATATCAGTTGTAGTTGTTGAAGTGGAGTTGGTGATTTTTTGCCGTTTTTGTTGTAAATCGTTTAGAAACACTTTATGTGTTAAGACTAGTAATAGCTTGGACCAAATATAGCGCTGGTAGTGGTTGATTAAATCTTTTATTACAGCTATGGCCTCCTTACTTTACGTGTTGCCGAAGACAGCAGGAAATGGTAATGGGAGAAAGGTTTAAAAAAGTATTAAAAAATCGATATCTGCCAATCAAATTACAATAATACGATCGTTTAACTTTTTAATTTCGAACGATAAATGAAAATCAATATAAATTAATCGATAATTTATTCTACGAAGTATGACCTAACGCTTTTCAATCTCAAATAATAAAATATTAAAATTTTAAATAATTTAATGAAAATAAAAAAGTAATCGATATATTATCGAAAATGATCGATAAATGCTAATTAAAGGAATTAAAAACAGAAAATCATTATTTAAAAAAAAAATAGCTGTCACATGTCTATATAATCAAAAAGTTTAGGAATTTAAGTTGTATATTTCAATTTAAAAGCAAATAATAACAAGTAAGGAAGGGCTAAGTTCGGATGTAACCGAACATTTTATACTCTCGCAAAGTCAAATGGTATACTCGTTTAAGATTTCTTTGTGGATTGACTGATATTTTCGGTAGAAGGTCAACTATAGGCAATGGGGTCCATATATTTAGTACTTAGGGGTTTGAACAGTTTTGGTTCGATTTAGACAATTTTTGGCCGCAGGTGGCATACTTTAATTGCATTATTCACGCAAAGTTTTACCCCGATATAATCATTGTTACCTGATTTGCATAGTGGAAAGTGAAAGAATCAGATGGAATTGAAAATGGTGTTACATGGGAAGTAAGCGTGGTTGTAGTCCGATTTCGCCCATTTTCGCACTATGAAAAAAACAACAAAAGAACGTTATGCACCGAATTTGGTTGAAATCGGTTGAGCAGATCTCAAGATATGGGTTTTCACCTAAAAGTGGGCTGTGCCACGCCCACTGACTAATTTTGAACGCGGTTCCTATAAAGTCATCTTATACCATCTCAGAGATAAAATTTAATGTCTCTGGCGTGTTTAGTGCTTGATTTATCGCGCTTTTAGTAGTTTTTAACAGTACCGTTATATGGGGAGTGGGCGGAGTTGCCACTCGATTTCAACTATTTTCACACCGTCAATAGAAGTGCTAAAAACATTTGCTTCTAGTGAATTTTGTTATTATAGCATTAGCGGTTTAGGAGATATGCACATTAAACCTATTAGAGGCGGGACCACGGCCACTTTAAAAAAAAAAAGTTTTAACTGCAGATGCCCCTCCCTAATGTGATCCTGTGTACCAAATAACAGTCTTGTATCTTATTGCGGAGCTTAGTTATGGCAAGTTATTTGTTTTTGATTAATGGCGTTTTGTGGGCGTGGCAGTGGTCCGATTACGCCCATCTGCAATACCAACCGTCTCACGGTACCAAGAAACATGTCTACCAAGTTTCATAAAGATATCTCAATTTTTACTCAAGTTAGAGCTTGCACGGACGGACGGACAGACAGTCACCCGGATTTCAACTCGTCTCTTCATCCTGATCATTTATATATATATAACCCTATATCTAACTCGATTAGTTTTAGGTGATACAACAATAAATATTTTAAAATTTTCGACATGAAAATAATTTAAAAATCAAAAATATTGGATAGGCAAAATATATAAATATATGCAGAGTAATTACTATAAAAAGTGGCTAGATTTTTGTCAAAGTTTATATAAATATACACATAAGTCTCAACCCCAAAAAAATATTTAAAAAAACACATTTTATTATTTTATTAATTAATTTGCATGAACGAATTAAAAATTATAAATTTTTAAAATTATCGTAGTGAAAAAAATTTAAAATTATGAAGCTAAATATACTAATACTCTAAGTTATTGCAATTTAGAGTGGCAAGATTTTTTTCAAAATTGAAATGTATAAGCCTTTCTTAACAATTACAACCTCACATTTTAAATAATCCGTCGATCATTTAACTGATCAATAAACTGTACTAAAGTCAACATTCAACAGATCATTTTTAACACTTTTTCTTATTCTTATTCATGGCTCGCTCACCTGGATTAAAGTCGATGCTATAACTGCTCGGCTCGTTGTCCCAGAAATCATAAAAAATACGACGTGTCACCGCATAGATGTGACTCTGTGACAAGTTCAAGCCGAAGTTTTGTGAAATATCCAAAATGCGCGTATAAAATTCCATGCCGAAGTGGAGCAAGTTGGTCAATAAAGTGCACAAAAACAACACACAATTACAGCGGAAATAAAATTGAGCGACAAGCGGAAAAAATACGCAAAACAAAGCGCGTTGAAGGCGACAAGAAGTGTTGCTTGAAAAAACAAACAAAAACAAAAAAAAACAGCTGCGTTCGGATTTAACTGCTATTGCAGATGCGGCAAAATTACGTGATTTATTTTTTGATTTTTTATTGCAGAGTAATTTAGCGGCATTATGCTTTAAATTTTGTCTTTTTCTTTTAATATTTTCATTTTATTTTGCTACATTCACTTTTTCGCATACTACTGGTGTTTTTGCGCGCCTCATAAACGTGAAATCAAGGTGATGTCGGCAATCAGTTTGACAATCGGGTGTGAAAATTAAGACGAGACTATTTTTTTATTATATTTAGTTTGTTTTTCTTTCATTTTTGCTTGGTTGCCATTTCTACATGGCACGCTGTTCGAAATGTGATACAGTGGCGGGCCTATAATAAGTGCAAGAACGAGTTATTGTCAGTTGCAGACAAAGCATACGTTATCTGATGCTTAAGGTGAAGAACGAGCGGCGTAAAGGAATGAGTGCTGACAGAATATAAATTGCATGGCAATTTTATAGAAAAAAGTTTAAACAAAAAGCCGGAAAACGTAAAAGAATTAAAAGTGTTTGCATGAAATAAAATGGTTTCATAAAGTAAAATTTTTTTTTTTTTTGTTAACTTTATACTTAAGCACGATCACTTGATATTTTTCATATGATTTCTAACAAAATCTCATTTTTTAAATTAATGCAAATCGATTGCTTTACAAACAAGTATTTTGAAAACACTTGGCAAAATGCTAAAGAAACTAAATTTAAGTTTTTTAAGGCTGCTAATGGCACGATCACTAAGTTTTTCAACTGAATGAGTTTATTTTTTTTATCTATTTTAGCAAAATATGAAATTCTCCCATCATTCATCACTTCATATTATATTTTATAAATATTTTTTAAATACATTTTTCTAACTATTCACTATTCCAACAATCAAAATAATTCACTTTGCCATTTTAGTACAGTTCATATGAAATTTTTGCGCCCAAAACATTTACACACCACTTCAACACACACCGATAAACGATCACTGCACTACTACAAGGCACAGCGGCGACTGCGGGGACATATGCAAAGCGGGAGATCCTACCAGCAATGTTATTTGAGCAGATAATTGCTTCAAAGATTAACCGCGTACAATTAGGGAGAGTTCAAAGGTGAAATTGTAACTACATGTGATGCTTCAGAAAGATCAGAAGAGCATGAGGAAGTGGAAAGGCACACAAGTGGAGAGAGAAAGTAATGTTGCCCGATAAGAATGAAAGATTTCAAGTAACAGGCTGTAAAGACATTTCAAAATAGTTTGTCGGTATTGCCACATTGAAATTTTTTATAAAAACTAGTATTAATTGATTTTGCTTGGAAAGTGTTGCCACAATAAGAAAAATATTTTTGGACAATAATAAAATTTTTAGACTATAGTAAAATTATTTAGAATATGAGGAGGAAAATAAGAATGTTTACCAAAGTTGCCACACTGATCGTAATTTATGCATTATATAAAAAATATTTCTATGAGAAAATGTAAACATCATTACAAAATATTTTTTTAGCGTTGCCACAGTGCACAAAACTGATTTTTAATGAATATTATACTTTTCTGTGTAATTATGAATGAAAAAAAGGTTTGAAAGAGTTTGTAACAAAGTAATTCAAAAACCAGTGTTGCCACAGTAAGAAAAATATTTTTTTCGAAAAAACAATATTATTTTTATTGGCTTGTAAAAAGATAATTTATTTCGAACATAAGAAGGAAAAAATGAATGTTTACCAAAACGGCCACATAAAGCATTTATTTATTTATTATATATTAAATATAATTATTATATACTAAATTATTATATAATAAATATAATTATTATATAAAAAATATTTTTATGCGAAAATGTAGTTAAAAATGTAACGAAGCTAGTCTAATAAAAGATAACCATAATCCCCATAATTGAAAAGCAAGTTCTAAATACTACATTATTTATCTTTTTTTAGTCATCAAGCAGCCTAACCCATAAAAGTAAGTTAAAAACTTCGATTTTTTGAGCGTGGCCGAAAAGTAATAAAAAAAAGCTTTATTTATAAATAAAACATGTAATTTTTCGTTTCAAATTTAAAAACTTTCTTGAGGCAAATGCTGTTTTTGCTACTGAAGATTGCTTTGAGATCGGATGACAGAACTTCTTAACCTCAAATTAAGCGTGATACAGTTCTTAAACCAAATTTGTAATTCTTATAACTTTTTTTAAAATAAAATTTTTAGTGAAATGGCAACTCTAGCGACTATTTAATTTCCATGCGGTATTTGTTTTGCTTGGAGAACTAAGGTTATATTTACTGGCGTGGGAGAACTGCGATTATATAAAAATCGTAAATTTTCGCATTATTTTAAGCTACCGCTCTCTTATGCTATTTGTCTTCGCACAGAACTAAATCTTAAATTAGAAACTTAAAAAAAAATTGTATTTTCAACTACTTGTATATTTCACGTGCAGCTGCAGACTATACGCTCTTTTATGACTCCCACCGAGAGCGCGTCGATAAGAACTTCGCTGAGAGCAAAGGTTTTAAAAATAAACTGACACTTTCTACCTAGATAACGAATAGGGAGTAACAAGTAGAATTAAAGATATTTTTATGTGCGTGTGTTTATTTGTACGGTTTAGAGAATGCATAACAAAAATATCACCTGCTCAATGGAGTAGCAAAGGAAATGCCAACAAGCAAGTGTTGAATATGCTGAACAACAATGCTTGGTTGGCTGGCTACAAGTAAGAGATAAACCAGAAAAATGCGCTGCTATGGCTAATGCTACAACAAATATGTTGATAATGCCGCACAAAAGGAAAAATAACACGAATAACAACACTAACAACAACATAGGCATGTAAAGCAGCATGAGTGCTGACATTTTCCGATAGCACAAGGTTTGAGCGCGCCAAAAAAGAAAAAACTAAAAACAACAAATACAAAAGAAATAGACAATAAGACAAGTGAAGCAGCGTGCAGCAAGCAAGCAGGTAATATAAGTATACGATAAAATGCATTTGTAAAGCCGTTAAGCGTTCAACAGCACGTTCTCTAAGCAAGTATGAGCGTTTTGCAGAATGGAAGTGAGCGCTGGGAACTGTTGACGCTGCGTGGCGACGTTCCAAAATGTGCACTGAAGTGCATAGTACACAAAGAACCGCTTCTAGCGGCGGTCTACAATATCAACAACAACAACAACAATAATAATAGCAATGAAATGCTACATATTTTTAACTCTAAACAAATTTGCTAGAAATTCTCTTATCTGTAGAAATTTTCACACCAAAGTGTTAAACACGTACGTGGAATACGCGAGACATTAGACGTGCCTTAGAGTTGGCTCTGTCGCCGTGTAATTAGCAGCATTTATATAACCAATAACAAATAGGGAAAGTAATCAGCAAGTCTGCTATCATTCAACTAAAGTAAATATTTATCATTTTTCTTTGCTAAAATAATAAAAATAATTTATCCATCAGATTTCGTTCGGCTAAACAAATATTGTTGTTGAAAACTAGCAAAACCTTAACCTCAATTTTCTGGATATATATATGCAATTTATGCTTACTTTAAAGGTTTTAGCGTACATGCAAACAAAAAATTGTGTATCAAATAATTTGGGCGCTAGTTTTAACATAATTTTAATAGAATCGAAATTTTAACCTCACTTTTTCAAAAAAAAAAAAAAAATTAACACAAAATTGAGGTGATATACTATATATTTTTGGTAAATGTCAAATAGGCGACAGTTTTATAACGCACTAAATGCATAAAAAACTTGTTTTTAACTTCATTTGTTGACAACTAGCAAAACCATAACTTTTTTTTGTTAAAAATGTATTTTAAGCTCAATACAAAGGTTTCGGCAAACATATAAACACAAAAAATGTAGCTCTAAAGCAATAAATATCATTGTGTGCCTAGTTTCAACCATAGTTTACATAAAAAACAAGCTTAATTTCACTTTTGTTTCAAAAGAAAAAGTAGATTTAACCTAAAATTAGTTATATAACATATTTTTTAAATAAAGATTGTATAAGAAACAATACTCTGGCCTATTAAATGCATAAATAAATAAGTTTTATATTTCTTTTGTTGAAAAATAGTGAAACCATAACCTCATTTTTTGTAAACATGTATTTTAAGCTTATCTTAAATGTATTAGCACATCTATCATTATAACCAATATAATTCTTTAGCTTAATTATAACTATTTTCACCGTAATTTATATAAAAAAAATCATAACCTCACTTTTTTAAAAGTAAATTAATAAGTATAACCTTAAATTGAGGTTATATAATACATATTTTTTAATAAATGCCAAATAAACACTCACTAAATGCTTAAATAATGTTTTCCGAGGTTAAAAACTAGTAAACCCATAACCTCAATTTTTATGTAAAATGTAGTTTATACTTAGGTCAAGGAGTTTTAATATAAGTATTTTCGTAAAAAAATATTTTTAAACCCGAAATCCACAACAAATTGTGTACTTTAAGCTTCATTTGTTAAATACTAAAATAATAAAATCTCACTTTTAAGCAAAATAAATTGTAAACCTATTTTTTGAGGTTTTCAACACAGACTATGAATGTATATACATATATTTTCAATTAAAAAATCAATTTTGTTGCAAACTAACAAATCCTTAATTTCACCTTTTCTCAAATCATCAATTTAACCAAAATTTTAGGTTATTTAGTTAAACAACAATTTAAGTTGTTTTTGACTGCAGTGTTATTTAAACTGTTCATTTCATAATATTAATCATCCACAAAATTTTTTTCTTACATTTTTTTTGAAAATCGGTATGCTCAAATTGCTGATAAGCAGTTCTGATCAGAGCAGATTTCGAAGAAAATTCAACAGTTTTGAAACTACTGTGCTCCAACAAAATCCTCAAAACAGCGACACTCAAATTTTGAAAAATACATTTTCTAATAAGATTTATTGTGGAAACCAATAAGAATTATCTCCACGCGATGCACATATAAGCTTTTTTAAAATAACCTGTTTTTGAATAATCTTCAAAAAGTTGTTGGAAAATTATTATTATTTCAAAAAATAAGAAATATAACCAGATATCTACTTCAATACCAAAAAACATATTCAGCTTCTTAATTGAAGAGCAAGGAAAATAAGTTTTTGAAGATCACTTCGAGCGATCTCTAATAATCGCATACATTTTCTTTTTTTGTAAGCCACACCTATTGCATGCTTTATTTTCGCACAATTTTCGTAAAATATCTTGCAAAGAAAGAGCGTCAAAAACACTGTCGACACAGAGTTGATCTTTAAACGATTCTCAAGTGATCTCCAGCTAATCTCTGATCTTCACACTGACTCATCGTTGACTTTTGTCTTGCTCTGCTCATTATCAACCGCAACACGTTTATCGCTTTTCTAGAAATCGTCGCTATTTGTATTTTTAGTCAACTAATTTCATTTGCTCTAATTACTTTTTTGTTTATTTTCGTACTCCATTATTATGTATACGAATTGTTTTCAAGCTACGAAAAGCCACTGATAAATAGCCAGATTAAATCTAATTATCTTAAGTAGATAAACGGTTATCTTAGTTAAGCTTGTTTCCGCTGTAGCGGATATATTAAAGAGACCTTGAACGTGTAGAAGGTTGAACATATTTTTCTCACAATATATTTTGTTGTTAAGGGTGGCTGAGTGATGGTGTGAATGCATGTGTGCGAAAGCAAATGAGTTTTTATTTATATTAATTATTGTTGTTAATTGTGGAGGTTTCGCCCATCCCCGCTTCTTAGCCTTATGAACTAAAGTTCAGCAAGTGTTTTATACTTAAGTTTCTTTTAGATTAATTTTTGTTTTATTTTTGTGAAAAATCTTTCGGGTAGACTATTTTAATTTATATTTTAATGAGTCTCTTAGATTTCCTTAGTAATTTTTGCAAATATTATGCCAATAAAGCGAATAATGAAAATCAGTGAGATCGGTTCAAGATCAAGACGAATCAGTTACTGTTAAAAATCTTAGAATAAAACTCAAACGCGGGATGTATGTAAAAGGTTGTTAAGAAATCGAAAAGGAGTTTTTAGGCGATTATTGTCTTGTATATGATCTTCAACAATTTTTTATTTACTCAAAAGATCATCGAACGTCGTAACGTCTTATATTAAACTTACACTCTTACACTTCAAACACTTTTTATTTGGTACTCACCCGTAATGAGAAGAAAAAATACTTGTTAGTTAAGAGTGAAACCAAAATTTAGTCAATTTTATTTTAAATTATATTTATTAAGTCAAAATTTAATTTCTAGGAAGTTTCAAGGACAAAGAAAGTGTTAATAAATCAACTGTTACTTTTTAGACTCGATAGCTAATTTCAAAACATAAACCCCTCCCTACTTATTAGAAACAAGATCACTCCCAACATATGTAGAGGATAAAACACGAAATATTTGAGATCAATACAAGAAGAAAGTTGATGCCTCAAATAATAGACTGCTCGCACTTCTTAAACGACATAAAAAGCATGAAGAAGTCGTTGTTATACTCACTAAGAAAACCAAATGTCGGATATTGTATTAATAGAATATAATCTCTACAACCTGCTCATCGTAGATGGACTTCAATGATAATAAATTATGAGGAACAGTTTATATAGGAAGTAGGAAACTGAGAAAGAGGGCTCTTGGAGATAACTGATCGAAAAATACAGGAGACGAATTGATAACGTGCCTACCAAAAAGTTTTTTTTTTCGAGTCTTCAAAATGCTGTAGCTCACGTTATAACAAAAATCTGTATATTTCAGCGATTTATAGTGAACTCGCATCGCTCTCCAAAGAGCTTTAAAGATGAGAGACAGATAAAAATTTTAATTTCGAAGTAACTAAACAAGCCTAAAAACATGAGAGGATACGGCAGCTAAGGTGTTTTTAACTTAGGAGCTCTCGGAGCTTTGATCCTAATCTAATAGGAACTTCAAACCTTCGACAATTATAGAGCTTATACAACTTGTAGAGCAACGGTATTCGTATTTAATAAATATGATAAGGCTCGGAACACAGTGAAATGCAGAGCATAGAGCTTATAAAAAATATTGTAAAAGTCTTTCAAAAAGCATTTTGCAATGAAAACTTATACGAGTATTATGCAGTCATCATGATTCCAATTATAAAATAACGGTATCGTTTATTCAAAAACGCTCCAACGTCATTTTTATTTCGCTCTCAATACTTTCGCTATCCAAATTCAAATCCATAGAAATGTATGAAAAAGAAAAATCCATTTGGAAAAACTAGGCCGCAAGCCATCTGGCGTTGAATAGCCAACCACAAACAATATGGTTGAGTGTAAATAAAGGACAGGTAAATGAGACAGCTTAGCGAATGCTTAGAATTTGTAAAGGAAGCGATTTTCTATAGATTTACAAAGTGGACAAATGCTAAAGCAGAGGAGTTTTGAAATTGAAGTATGAAAGACTGAACGAAGGTGGACCTACTAATACCGACCGAAGAAAGCAAGATAAAATAGAGCGGCAGGGGTAAGGAGAAAATTTTAGAGCGCTGGTGAATGCTCATAAGATATAGCAGAGACATTGTTGACTATAAAAATGCATGCAAATAATTTGCAGGGATGCTCAAATATAAAAAGTAATAAAAGGGAATTTTTAATATTTGCAGTGGTGCTCAAATGTAAACAGCTTTACAAGAGTTTAAAAGTATAAGAAAGCACTTTTTTAATAGAAGTGGCTCAAAAGCGCATCTTTTAATACAACGAGGACACGCTGCAAATGAAGTGAAATGAAAAGAAAAACCTTCGTGCTATGAAAAGCAATGAAAAACAAAATGTAAAAAAGCAAGAAAAGAGAAAAATTAAAAAAAAAGCATTAAAAAACGAAAATGTAAAAGAAGCAATGAAATGAAAGATAAATAAAGCAGTAAAATGGTTGAGGGACGTTCTCAATTTTGAAAAAAAGGTATATAAAATTAAAAAAAAAGAGATAAAATGAGTGCGAAGCAATGAAAATGAAAAAAAGTATTAAAAAAGTATTAAAAAAGTTATGTAACAATCGACCTTTTCATGAAAATCTATGTGCATACATATGTACCTATATTTGTAAGCAAGCCTTACGCTGCACTTTAGCCTTTCTGCTTAGGTCAATAGAAAGAATTCCATAGAAAGTACTTAGCCAGCAGCGCGCATAGTTACACAAATGACATGTTTACCAGGCGCACAATGACACAAAATATACAAAGTACACACACAAACATAAATATGTAAGTAAATATACAAACAAACATAGGTATTATATATACATACAAGTATGCATTATTTATAGAGCTATCAGCCACTTTGATAAAAGTACATTTGTGATATGCTTTCTTTGTATGCAGCCGTATGCGTGTATATACGTATGTATGTCATGTATTATATGTTATGCATTTATGTGTCAATCAAAAGCATACTGTCGCTTCTGAGGTCCACTGAATAGCCGCAAACTTCCAGATAATGGTCGTGGCAAGCTATTGTACTAGACAAACAAAATAGCAGATTATCAACGTTTATTGAAAATGCTGTCACAATAATACCATATATTATTTCAAAGCGCTATATGGTATATATGTATATATACATACAAAATGATATATATATACAAACAAACAATCATCAGTATTTATATATAAACACAGCTTGACATATTTATTAAGGTAAAAACATATGTATGTAATCTAAGAACAGCTCATATTCACATTTTAATAACTGCTATACATAAATACATACATCTATAAATATGTACATATATATGTAAATACATACGTACATATTTACCTTTTACTATCATCACATACTTTTCTCAAGCATCGAGAGTAGTCATCGGCATATCCCTTGCGCTTACTCGCATGTCCGGCTGTCAGTGAGTTGACAGATCTGTCATTTACTGACAGCAAATGTTGTCAGGTATTCATGCAAACTTGTTTTTAAAATTTTTTACAGAAATTTATAGTTTTTTTTTGTTAATTTTTCATGTCATTTTGGTATACACTACAATTTTCTTTGTCTCTTAGAATTTATGTTTTTTTTGTGAGATTTTATTTATGTGGTTTCTCATTTTCTTTTGTATTCTAATGCTGATGACTACTAATGATGAGTTATGAAAATATATACTTACATATGTATATGCATGAAAATATACACATATACACATACAAATATATATAAGTGGATATGTTTTTATGAGCTTGCTCGTTCTTATTTCCAAATATTGCACGAAATGACATTTATGGAAGCACATAAAAAATGTT